GCACAAACATCATGTCAGTCGTATTTTCTCTTGCAGGAAAGGAAACACTAAATGCCATGCAAAGCGGGAAGAACATTGAGAGGAGCATGCAGTCGAAACAATAACAGGGGTTGTCCCAAATCTGCGACAGCACGATGGCAGTAATAGAAATAGGACAACGAGTATAGGGGGCACACACTGCACACTGGCAGAATCAGAATTCCCCTCACCCCCAGAGCAACACGTGTCATCTAGCAAAACAAATCCACACCCACATATGCACATCTCTGCATATTGTTTCTGTTTCTGTAGAGAGGGAGGGGCAACACCACGAAAAGTAGCATATTTTCGCAGAGTGAATATATTTCGTCTCGTGCGGAGGAGAGACTCCTAGCCGCACGCTACGGTACAGATGTGACTAATGCTGCTGCACCACAGAGCAGCAAGAAGATAGCACAAACTGCTTCGCACAACACCATCCGCAGACTCAGGCAGTATCTTGGCGGCTCAGCCCAGAGAGAAAGAGAGAGCAGGACGTAGCCACTCCTGCCACACCAAACGACGCACTCTGACTGCCTCATTTTCAGTGCGTCCCTCTCTCAAAACAAGTTGTAGATGGGAAAAAAATCGTAATCCCTCAAGCAAAACTATACCCGCACAACTTCTTCAATACAAACTAACGCTGGTCGAAGAGACCAGACTCTAAGCCACGTCTATGCAAATCTGTTTCTGTTTATAAATAGTTATATAAAATAATTCTTGCTGTGGCCTCTGTGAAAATTACACCAACCACACAAATTGTGACAAACCCCATGCATCAACACCGCACAGCGTGTACAGAGTGCGCAGTCTAGAGCCCACATGCCGTCAAAAAATGAAAAGAGAAACACAATGATTATTTTGCTCATTTTCTCCTCGTCGCACACCACGTTCAAGTCAATGGTTCAAAGGGCAATCCAATCTGTGAATTCATTTTCAAGGCTGACAACAATAAGTTCCCTGGAAGCATCTTTAGGCCCTTCTCTTGGGCGAGGCGGAGCGGAGGAATGGGTCGGGTGGATTTTAAAAAGCACACATTGTGACGATCTTTGCAACGGCAAACATGAAAAGACAAGTAACAGTTTACCAAGCGCAAGGAGCCGACCATTACTCTCACAGGCTCCCAGAAGAACAACCCCAAGCCCAAAAACAACATATCATCTCACGTCATGCACTTCTGCTTCCATGCGTGTCCTTCGATGACGTTTGCACCACGTACTGGCGAACTTCATCGTTCCAGAATGCCGCAATTGCTTTGTGGTTAGCAAGAAGTTCTTCCTCCTCCGTGGTACGGTTAACGTTTTCCTCAGTTTTCTTAAGTTCAGGAGGCAAGTCGCACCTCTGCCATCTCGTCATCCTCTGGCTGTCTGTGTGTTGCACATAAATGATCTCCCACGACATGTTTCGCGAGTACACCTCCCAGCCGTCAAAGGCTCTGCTCAAATACTCCTTAAACTGCAGCACTGTACTCGTTTTCGTGTCGTGACGACTCGCCGTAGTCACCTGCAGCCCAACCATTATCTTGTCCCCTCCCAATTCTACGAAGAAGAAACCATCCACAAGTGGGAAGTTCTCTGCACTTGGTTTATACAGCACCCTGCACTTTATCTGAATTTTACTCATTTCGTTCTGAAGAGATGCAAGCATTGGGATTCCCTTTTGGGAAGCAGGGTGGACTTGAAAGTTATCCTCCAAGACACACCTCTTCCTCCGTCTTGTCTCCTCTGGAACAATCTCTTTGAGTTTCTTGTGTACTCTTTTCACGAACTCCTCGTGCAAAAATGCCACAACTGCAAATTTCTCCATGATTTTCGGCACCATCTCATCAAATGGAAGCAGCAATGACATCAGAGCAGCAGAGGTGTCAAGGGCATCTCCCGCACGGTACCTTATCGCTTCCCTTATAGCAGGTGCCAGCGGGTCGTTGCAGTAATACTCGGCTTCCCCTGGCGCGGAATACCGAGTGATTTTCCCAAGCATTTGGCAGAGATCTTGACCTTGCCATGAACATCCTTTGTGCACTCCAAAGTATAGCTCGGCATTGGATGGCGTGATACAGGTCAACGCCGTTTCAACCGCCTTCAGACGACCATTGTACTCACTTTCACTACCAAAAATGTAGCGGGGAATCGGTCCCACATTGTTTATACGCTCTTCCACAACCTTCCATTCTTTCTCTTGCTCCTCCGCCGGTCTATCTCGGTGTATCCACAGACTCATCGCCCTTAGGTCACTCATGCTGGGGCAATTTATAATATTACGCAGTGCTCTTTTTTGCTTCTCCCATCCTTTGAAGTTCACCTCGTTTGGAGAGCTCAAAAGAATCATGCCCCAAGTAGAAGGAGGCATATCAATTGACGGCTCACTTCCTTGTTTTGCCACATCGTAGATTATGTATCCCCTCACACTCTTGGACAACATTGAGATTATTGCCTCCGCTTCCGTTTGTGATCGGTAAAAACGTACCTGGTTTCTAACCTTGTCAAAGAGATACATCTTTCCTGCAACGAAGTATGCAACCACTGGAAGTCGTTCCTTGTCGTAGTGCAGCAGTTGGTAGAGGAGATACGAGCCAACTCCCATTGACTTTCCTATACCAGGTGTCCCAATCAAAAGGCGTAACGTGGCCCTTACTCTTCCAGCATTTTGAACAAGCCAATTTTCTATATCCGTTTCAACAATCTTCCAAACGCGGTCAACTTCCCTTGTAACATAACAGTCACATTCTCCAAGCTCTTCAAAAACATCATAAGGCCAGCCTTTTTCAGAATGGAGTACCATTAACTCAACACATAGCTCCTGCGGATCCGCCACCCCCTCTGCGCTGGTGCTCTCTTTGTTCTTCCCCTTGCTTGCACCACCAGGAAGAAGATAGCCCACCTCGCTGTCTGTCCATTCCCTCGACGGCTTACCTTCTCTCACCTCCATTCCGACTCCTTCACTGTGACCAGGGACTTCCACCACATGGCTCCATGTGACATTCAATACAGACTCGTAGGCCTCCGTCATCACTTCACCATTCAATAACGGTGATTTATTCTTCGCAACGCTAAGGGCTGCATTTAACACTCCCCTCACCAAAGGGATAACTTGTTCCTTTTTATCATACACGTCCCACTGCTGGAGAGAATACACACCAGTCTCTTTGAGTTTGCGTTCAGCTTTCCTCAGTAATTCCCTCTGTACTTCCCTATTTTTCATTTCCTCTACTATTGTTTTGAATGACGGCATCGCAAGTATGACGTTCAACAGCCTATTGTCAGTGATGAAAATACCAGGCTCCACGACAAACGCATCCATACTGACATTCTTATTCACTTCCTCTACACCTCTACCACCAAGATGCCCACGAAGAAAGTCATTCAGCTTCATATTCACTTGGGGAAGATTTCCTTGTAGCAGATCTTCCTCCATTGTGCTGTCGAGGGTCCATTTCACCGATTTGGTAGCAGCCGCGTCGCTCAGAGCTTTATCGCCTGTAGTGCTGCCAGCCACAATACGCGGCGCCATCGCAACAAGGGTGGGCTTGAACACGCCACCCAATGTGAAATGTACGGGCAGATGTACCGTCCCCCAATTATGGTATTGTTTTTTCTTTCTGTCGGCGCATCTCTGTGCTTGATACGCATGGAGGCCGCACCTCATTGCCCAATAACGCGAGCGCCCTCAGTGGTGCCAACAGTGACGTGTACACCCTTTTCCTTTGTGTGTGTGTGCGTGTGTTACTGATCCCGCTGCGCTTGTGTTTTCCGTACGCTCCCTCTTTATTTGAAAAAGGGGGGAGAAGAAACACGGAAGTGAGTTGACCGTATTGGGCTTCAGGGATTCATACAAGACCGCCCCTCCTTCACACAGACACAGCACTGACTCAACAAGTCGCGGCACGTGCCTCGGCCCACAGCAGTGAGAAGAGAGGCGCACTGCACAACAGGCGGCCGCACACCGCACCATCCAGCCACACACCCACTCACACGCGTTACTGTCCTGCATACACGCACAAATGTCAAGCATGTGTCACCCTCACTTTCATTCATCCGCCACTCTCGCACAAGGCCGTGTCAGCGCTCTGGCACGCAGTAACGGTTGCCTTCACGACTGCCTTGTCCAGCCAAACCCGTCGCCACACACACACGCCTGCAAATCCCATCGACACCGACGGAAACTGACCGCAGCATCACAGCGTGTGTGGTGTGTGTGTGACTCCTGTTCTTTATCAAGCGTTGAGGAAATGGCTCGTTTGATAATTCCGCAGGAGGAGACCTGTTCACCACAGCTCACGGTGTACAAAATACTACCCCACCCCCTGAGTGGCGTTGCACCTTCCGTGTCTCACCCCACTCTTTTTTGTCTTTGCGTACACGAAGGGCTCCCAATACCCTCCACACCCCAGCGTCATCCCCACCGGCCATCACGTTGGCGTGGCTACGAGGCGTGTGGGACGAAGGCCACAAGAAAAAAAGTGAGTACGGAACAAAAGCACATGAAAAGCCATTCAAGAATAGCTTATGCCTTAGCCTCCCTTAAGAAAGTAGAGAATGTGAGAGAAGGAACATAAGCACTTGTTGATGTATTAAGATGTTCCGTCGCGGAAGTACTCCCAGAGTCCCACATAGGTGGGATACTCAAAGAAAGACATACGGGCAATTATAGGGAACTTAAATATTCAGAACCGACGAAAGGGAGATGCCAAAAGCTGCCTTTTAGCCCGCCGCCCGCGCGGGGCGAAGAGAGCTGGGTTGAATGGCCCGTCGGAAATACACGCCTTGAGTCACCCTTGCAGATTCAAAAGCGACAAGAAGGAGGAATCGTGCTTGCCCCATAAAACAGGAAGACCAGGCCATTCCTCTCGCAACCTCCGCATACAAAAGGAAGAACACAAAACAAGCAATATTATTTACAACGGTCTCTGTGGCACAAGACACACCCTCGGCACACCAAAAGAAACACACGAAAAAAAAAAGACTCCCTCGACGAAGTCCATCGTCTTACACAAACTAGGGAATGGTCGTGCACTCCATATACGAGGCATTTTTTTTCTTTGAATTCACATAGAAACAAATGACACTCGGTCCAAGCGACGCATACGCCATGTCGCACAAACAAGGCCAAATGAGCCTTGCCTGCCACTGTAGTCACATCGTACTCACTATCCATCTGTAGCATCACTGTGGATCCACAGTTCTCGCACATGTACATCAAGTGTGGGACTAAATCGTTTTTACTCCTTGGTGGAATCAACGTGCGTTGGCCCACAGACGCAAATCTTCTGGAGAAGCAGCACAAAGAACATATCACGGCATTTTTGATACCTTGGTATCCCCTTCATCTTCATTGGCTCATGGCTCCCAATGATTTTTCGCCCACGGTACGGGTGTGTGTTGTCTTGAACCCCCTGGCGCATATGCATTGCCTTGTCGCTTTACACCGGTGTGAAGCCGAATAGCAGGGCAACCAGGAAAGGAAAAGAGTACCGCAATGAATCAACGGCCTAATGCCGCCCGAGAGGAAACACTGCAAATACGATGGGCCAAGACACCTGTTATGTGAAAGGCGCATTAATGTGCCGTTGTGTACGTACACGCATAAACACTCTCTCTGCCGCCGTGTGTGCGTCTCCTTCCCAGCGGCCGTTGCGTAGTGCCGCCGCCACCTAACCGCTGGGTAGTGCACTGTCGCGACGCGAGTCGGCGCGTCCGGGGTTCCACCCTGCACACACACATCGCACGTGCCACGGAAAAGCGCCCCGAATAGCAATCGCTCGTTGTGGGCAGACACTTTTTTTCTCTTTGCTTCTGTATTTGTGCCTAAGCCTTGAGTTGTCTTGTAAGTCAAAAACGCAGACACGCGGGAAGACCGAGGAGAACAAATGCGCACGATGCCTGCGTGCCACACTCGCCGTCTGAAGCGTAAAGAAACAGGAAGGTGGAAAAATACATTTCTTTTTTTTTTTTTTGCTTTAACAGAGAGTCCTTATTAATTAGGATGTTACCAAATTCGTTGGAGATTCGTGTGTTGAGCAGTGTCACTACTGCACCGTAACTACAACCTCTGCAGGCGTTCCTTCTCCTGTTGCAGCAGCATCTGTTGCTCATCGCGTTTGGACGCCTTACCCTTTGTTTGCGTCTGCTCTGCAAATACTTCAGCCTCCTTGAGGAACTTCTTCAGTATCTCATTGTCCTGTTGACGCTTATCAAACTCTTTGCGGTGTTGTATAAGGAAGTTCTCCCGCGCCGCTGCTCGCTCGGCCTTGTGCTGCTCAGCCTCTGCCAGCTCAATGGCCTTCCGCTTAGGTATCTCCAGCTCTCGGCAGGCTCGCTCAAAGTGGTTCATCTTCGTTACATCAGCCATCTTTTCCTGTGTTGTCTTCTTTAGGTGCTCCGTCAAGAGCGTTGTCACCTCCTGCACAAAGTCCGTCGAGTTCTGCTGCGCAAGAATATCTGGGGGGTTGAAGCCCTTGTACTTCTCCCTCAGTCGGCGCAGCACCATCTTACGTCGTCCCTGGTTAATGAAATCCTGGTACTCCGCCAGTCCACGAGCCTCCTGCGCCAAACGCGCCGCCTCCTTTTTCTTCTCCTCATTCTGGATGCGCTCCAGTCTAGCATTCTCCCGCTCGGCTTCCTCCCTCTCCTTCGCATTCTGCCGCCGCGCCTCAGCATTCTCCTCGCAGTTATACTGCAGCCGGTGGAGAATGCTGCTTCGGTCGTGGGCACGCTGGAGGTGTTCCGGGCGAATATCAACGCGCCGGCGCGGCGCAGCCGGCTGGAGATCGACATGCTCCGCGAGAGCGTCGAACGCCTGCAGCACCTTCGTCTTGGTCGTGCCGCTGAACGACATGGAATTCGTCTTGTGGTCGATTTCTACGGGGATTCCAGACTCATTCAGGATAAATGGCTCGATCTCAAAGATGTAGGCCTTCTCCCATGCTTGGTTCGCACCTATCTGCAGCGATGCCGCGTCCACGCGAGTCGTTTTGGCAGCCATACATTCCAAATACCGCTGAATGATAACTTTTCGCAGAGGCTCTTGATAAATTTCAAGGCTTGGCTCGTTCTGCACACCAATAGCCAGCTGCGCAATGGCCTTCTTAGCGACATCTTCATCGACTAGCTTGTTCCGCAGCAGTTCATCCAGCGCCTGCACTTCTGGGGACGCGTTTTGCAGAACCTGCATTCTTTGGAGTCGCTGCCAGAGAGAAATGCCTCCCGGGGCGGCCTGAAGGCCAAAAAGCTGCGCAATCCGTGCATTCTTCTCAAACAATGAATCAGATCCACGAGCAAAGCTCTTTCGCTCCCTGTTTATATCCGGCACACAGAGTGTCGCCAAGACAGCCTTGGAGGCCGCAGCCACACGGTCCTCTTTTTCGGTCAGAAAGGCGGCGAGTCCTAAGCAGTGAGCGTGGAAAGCGTAGTGTGAGCACTTCCAAAAAACGGCAGCCATGGCGGAGTGTGCGTTGATCTGGCACTCCCGAGATGGATCAGGGCGCTGCGTAATCTCCTGCATCACCCTCGTAAAGCACTGCAATGCTGACCATGTGCTCTGCCAGTTATTCATTGTGGTCAGCGCGCGCAGCAGCTGACAGAACACCTGCACAGCCCGCTCTGTCGTCGCCTTTTCCTTGTAGAAATCCTCACGATCCGCCTCCAACTCCTTGTTCAAGGCGATGAGGTGCTGACTTTCGACCTTCGTCACGGGAGTGATGGGGTTGAGCAGGAACCGCTTGAAGAAGCGCACGAAAGCCTCGGCCACGCGCCCAATGGCCCGCTTAAGGTTGTGCTCTTGGCAGTACGCAATCAGCTCGGTTGCCGTGTCAAGGTAGATGGGCAGAAGCCTCTTCGAGTGCCCAATCACATTGAAATTAAGCAGTTCGCTCCCCACCATCTGGGCAATACTCTCAGCGGGAATGAGGTACCGCTCCCGTGCTCGCTGCGCTGGCGACACGCCGGAGAGCGCGGCGAGGATGAGTTCCTCCTCGCCCGGCGCCGCCTCCGTCGCCGCGGCGTTCACGCGCGCCCGCTCGCCCATCGCACGCAGGTGCTTGAACGTGATGTCGACAATACGCCGCGTCCCCTCCACAAGGTGCTGCGAGCCGCGCAGCTTGTTGCGGTTCCAGCGGAATGCAGGGAAGAAGCGGTCGACCATGACGTCACGCTCCTGGCTGAAGCAGAGCTCGGCGAGGAGATCGAGGGCGGCGATGTACACCGGCCCCCACTGCACGCCATGCTCGGAGAGCGACTGCAGCGCCGTCACCGCGTCCTTGTAGTTGCCGCTGGCCTTGAGCGTCTGGGCCTTCGTTAGAAAGCCACGCATCTTCTCTTCACTGTTCATTTTGCTTAAAACGTTACACAACAAAATAAAACCTTTCCGTTTGTGTGTTGTTGTGGTGGTGGTGGTTGTTGGCGATGCGGCCGCATGGAGCCAAAATAAAATAAAAATATGTGTGGGCGAGAAACGAGAGCAAATAAAGGAGAGAGGGAAGTCACGCAGATGGGCACGTCGCAAAAACAAAACGAGTACATGAGCGCCGGTGTGCTGCGCCGCCGCACGCCTCTCTGCGGGATGCGGCAAAGCGGCCTGTTAACATCACGCGCCCCTCCGCAGCTCCTGCTCCTCCTCGACGCTGCTTGCTGCTGCCGTGCGGGCAAGCGTGTGCAGCGCGCACTGGAACGTCGCCGCGCTCTTCAAGACGTCTCCCGTGTGGTCGTCCCCCTGCGTCTCCAGCACCGACACGGCTGCCCGCATAGCGTCCACAACGGCGTCGAGCTGCGCCGCCGCGTCTGTCAAGCCCGTCATCCTAGCGCAGAGAGCCGGTTCACGTAAGGAAAGGAAAGGAGCCCACAAGAGCAACAGCAATAGTAGTAGGAGTACAGGCAAAGGCACAGCAGGTTCGTGAGAGGAGGAATGTCCACGCACACCCTTCTCGTGGGCGGACGAGAAACGCAAGAGAAAGGCGGTTGGAAGGAAGGAAAACATGCACTGAATATAACTTCAAAAGGGAGAGAAAAAAAAGTACACACAAACAAAACAACGAAAAAAAAAGAAAAGCAAGGAGGTGAACAGAGCGCACAATACCTCCCCGGGCAGTTGTTACACCGCCCGGGCTCATTATTTCTCCCTTTTTTCTCTCTCTCTTATTTGTTCTGCCTCTTTACTCCGCATCGCGCACACAGACCATGGTTCCATTCGCCGCGCTATGGCAGCGCATATCCTGCGACGCCTCCATGAGGAGCCTCACGCTTTCCTCATACGCCGCAGGATCCAGTGGGGTGTTTTCCAGTGCCACCAGCTCGTCCGCAACACGTTCATCAAGCGTCGGCCAGTGCTGGACCTCAAGAGCACGTTCCACCAACTGCCTGCGCTCCACGCACCCAACGCAGCTTGTCTCCCTGTCGCGCAGCATGCCCTTCAGCTGGGCCACACTCATGGCGTTGACGTCCCGCAGCTGCAGCTGCTGACGTGATGCCGGGAGTGAGCGGAGAACGTGGTAGTCCGAGCGCGCCAGCGCCCCCCTGCGCTGGAGCAGGAACAAGTGTTCCTTGGAGTACTCACGGAACGGCGACGCTGTCGTCACGTCGGCGCCGATCAGAGTAACTAAAAGAAAAAGAAAAACGCAGACGGCTCCCCGCGTTCGCCGCATATTTGCCTACTTTGGGTGCGAGTGTGTTTCGTTCTTCTGCGTCTCTTCGTTGGGGGGTGAGGAAAGGGGGGAGGGAGCAAAAGCGTTGATGGAGCCCCACGACACATCACAAATGCGCATGTTAAGCATTCCCCCAATCACACACACACACACACACACACACACACATAGACAGAAGCACGCGGAGGGAAAAAAAAAAACCAAAGATACACGTAATTCACGTTATGTTGCTGTCTGTAAGTCGCGATAACGGCCGCACCGCTGTTGTGGTGAGAGCCCATAATCCAAGACGCACCCAAACCTCCGAGGAGGTAATTACCTGAAGGAACTTCCGCTAACACGGCTCATCCTCCACACTCCCCTCTCGTTAGAGAAGCGTGTCCCCTCGAACGCTAATAGAGGCGCCCTTTACGTACGCGCTGGTTGCCCCTGGGATCTTCACCATTATCCAGAGAAAGTAAGCAGAGGTGGCGCCAAGGAGGTGCCACATGCCGTGGAAAAAGCGGTACGGGTCCGCCGTGTCGTTGAGGCCAGCGACGAAGAACGGACCGGCAAGCGCCATGAAGAAGAGGCCGGTGACAAGAGAACGGTAGTGAACCGCGGGCAGCCGCTTGTTAGATATGTACACCCCCAGTGGAAGACACGCAAATAGTGCTAAGGGGAAGAATGTGTACACGGTGTTCCACGGGTCCTTTTCCTGCAGCAAGATGGCAACTATCAGTGTGAAGTATTTTGCACTTCGCTCTATGACCGGGTTCTTGAAGGCACAGATGAATACGGACCACATGCCCAACGCCGCGATGGCGGTGATGTTGTCGAGCCTGTGCCACTCAAGCTCACTGAGGAAGATCGTTGTGTTGAACGACTGGCAGACGTGATACATGAGTGAGCAAGTGAGGCCAAATATGGCGATGACCGCCTCGTAGACGTAGTGCCGCTTAAAGAACAAATACGTTGTCGGCAGCATCGGCAGGTGGCTCACGACAGTCGTCGCGAACAGCATCCATGGCGACTCCTTCCGCATATCATATGCAGGATCACTCACTCGCTTTGCTTTGATATTTTATGGTGCCCCCGTAACTTCAACGCGGAGAGTCCAAGTCACCTTGTACACGCACAGACACACAGACACAGGAAGAAAAATGGTAAGACGGAAAGCCAGTGTGTGTGTGTGTGTGTATGAATAAGAAGGCAGCGCACGCGGAAATCCGATAGGGGAATTCCATCCTCCACGCAACCTCACATCCCCGTGTGTATATACATTTATATATTTATTTATATATGAAAAAGGGAGAAAGAGTTTGTGGAAAAAACTGATAGCTATGATGGGTGTCTTTAATCAAACGTCAAAACCCTCAGACGCCGGCTTCATTCTTTCCACATAGTTCGTCTTCCCGCGCTGTCGCAGCCCCATGAGCATCTCGTAAAGGCCCAATCCCACGAACACGTGGAAGAGCCCGTGCCATATGCCAAACGGATCGGCTGGGACGTCCAGCCCACGAGTAAAGCACATGATGCCGAGCACACACAGCACAAAGCCTATGCAGAAGTTCTTCCGTATTAAACGACGTCGTTTCTGAGAATGTACATAGTGTGACACAGCCACCATAAGCGCGGCAAACGAAATGGGAACGGCGGTGTAGAAGATATTCCACGGATCCGCCTCCTGTAGGATTATAACCGAAAATAAAAAAAAATACTTTAGAATCTCCACGAGTGCATCCGAGTCAAAACAAGAGAGATGGAGGCATATAATAGCGATCGTAGAAATGGCCCCAACGTTGTCTAAGCGGTGCCATTTCTGTGTTGAGAGAAACAAAGGCATGCGAAGGCTCTCGGAAAGATGATAGAAAAACGAAAACACGGCGGCGAATGATGAAACGCACACTTCGTAGTACATCTTTCGGTCACACATAAGTCGAATAGTCGGTAGAAAGGCAAAGTGACTCAGGCAGCAGGTTAAAAGAAGAGCCCATGTTGGACTGTTTCGGCCGTGTGCCATGTCTCTCTCTTCATACAGAGAGGGAAGCTATCGCTGCTTTTGCGTGTGGGCCTTTTTGTGTGTACCTGCGCTCTGCAACCGGGTCCATGAATCCCATCATATGTGCGGGTGGCAAAGGAGGAGGTGGAGAAGGAGACCGAGGCGGTGCGCAGACAACAAGAGCGCAACAGGAAGGGAAGAAAGGCACAGGGTGCTAACTCAGACACACACACACACACACAGGGGGAAATCATGCACAAACTCACTGGTTGGGGGTGGTGCGCCCCACACTTTCTTTTTTTTTTTTCTTGGCCGTCGCTCCTTCCTCTCCTTCCCACCTCACTCTTCACTCACATATTTCCACTGAATCGCTGGCGCAGTCGTGATATGCAGTACATCAAGTTGCCGGAGTGCACCACATCCCTGAAGACCGAATGCGAGAGCACCGTTATCTCACGCGGAACTCGCGTCCCAGCAACAACAACAACGGCAGTAGCAGCAGCACCAGTCCCGCCACCACCGCCACTATCATCATCACCTGGTGAGTTGGAATCCAGCAGACGTATCAGCCCAAGTTGGTAGACAACGCTGTCATGCCCGTGACGCTGCAGCATGTCCGCAAGGTCACGTATGAGCAGCTCCGTCTTTGGAAGGATGTTGTTGACCATATCCGTCAGAAACCACCGCCTTCCTCGCTGCGCCGTGGGCGTCGTGACGAGTTTGCGCGACAGGTCCCGCGTCAGCCTCTCCACCGCCAGCGCCTCGCCCTCGACGCGTTCCAGCGTCAGTTCACAAAAGGGCAGGAAGAAGGAATAGAGCTCGCCAGAAAGCACATCGGCCATGTTCCATGTGCTCTGCAAGCTACGGTGCAACTTCTGCGTCACGACACCATTGGGGCCATGGAGCTGCCGCCTCGACGAGCCTCGTTGCGCTCTGTTGTAGTACGTGCCGAACACGAGCGGCAGGTGGCAGAGCACCGTCATGCTGAGAGCGCCGTCACTGCGGCTCTTCGACTCCGACGCCGTGCGGCGCTTTTGTGCAGGGCCTGCGCCTGCCCGGCCGCGTGCTGAGGGACTCCGGGCCAACTGTCGCCGCGGGACCCTGTTGTGGCGCGACAGCCACTGATCGTAGCCCGTGCCGCCTTTCGTGTTAGCAGCAGCATCAGCATCAGCAGCAGTGGCAGTGGGGTCCACAAGACTCTTTTCGCACGCCTTTGCAAGAAGGGCCTTAGAACAGGCGACAAAAAGTGTGTTGTGCGGAGCCGTAGCAGCAGCCCGAACGCGCTCGAGGGCCTCGTCAACGCCGTGCTGAAGCCCGTTGTACGGTACCCGTGTCTCCTGCAGCGTCAGCACCGAGTCGGCCCACTTGCCAAGATCTGCGCCGTCCCCCTGCGGCAGCAGCACCGGGTCATTAAGTACTGCGCATGTCGCGTCGATAATTGCCAAACCCGCCAGGCCGGCGTCGGCAAAACTGCGGGTGGTGCACCGCAGCAAGTCCATCGACCACTCCACATAGTTGCGCGTCAAGTCCAGCACCGTAGCGCGGACCTGCGGGTTCTTCACCAGAACGAGGCCAACCACAAGTGCGGCTCGCTCGCGAGCCTCCTGTACACCCTCCAAGATGATACGGCAGAGCAAAGGAAAGGCGCGCACAAACGCAGAGGCCACATGAACGTGGACAGCCTCCGTCACGACGCACCCCACAGCACACAGGACGACGTCGAGGCCGTCCACAAGGGCCTCCTGCGAGGTCCATAACTTCTTGTCGTGCAGCACCGCGCTGTACGCCGCCGTCTCACAGTCAACATCGGCCACACGCGCGGCACCCTCCACCTGTAGCAGCGCGGCGAGGAGACTTAACAAGCCATTGCGCTGCCGCTTCTCCGCGCCCCGCACGGCGGCAACGACGCTGTGCAACGGCACAATCTCCCCCGCTCCCACTTGCTGCAAGTACTGCACAGGACGGTGCGTCGTCGCGATCTCCACGCACTCCGCCACAAGCACAACCACGCGGCTCGGCTCCTCGCAGCGGGCGGCGAGGAACGCCAGCCCGTCGCGCACAAACGCAGTTGGCAGCACCGCCGCATCCATACCAGCGACGACACGCAGCACGCCTGCCAAATATTCGCCGCACATCGAAGGAGCAGCGTCAGGGCAGAGGACAATCGCACTGATGCGCCAAAGAGCGTCCGCTACGCCGCCAAGCGCATGCCCGAGCGGCGGGACCCGGGCCACGAGCACCAAGAGCAACTCTGCCGCATCCGCCCTGAGAGCATCATTTCCGCCATTGAGGAGCGCGTCGAGGACGGCGTACAGGGCATTCGCCTCTACAAGATCCGCCGTGAGGGCAGGGCCGATGGCATCTGCGAAGTCATGCAGCTCCAAACACCAGGTGAGGACCTCCAGCAGCGTCTGCATCGCCGCGGCGTTGATGCGGCTGCTCTGCAGCGACGGATGGAGCAGGCGCGTCACGGTGGCGAGCGGGCGACATATGGTGAAGAGGTACGCGATGCGCAGGGCCGCGGGGTCGGCACGCAGCACCTGTGGAATCAGCAGAAGCAGGTCGACAACACGCCCCTCCGCCACCGGCTCCTCCCGCACCGCCAACAGAACAGAATCGATAATTGCCGCTAGGCAGGCGGCGTCACGACTAGGAATACTCATCTCTACTGTTTCTGCTGGAGATGAGGCAGGTAGTGTTGGCGTTAGTTTTAGGGGGGAGGGGGAGGACAGGCAGATTATTAGCGACGATGAACAATAAGCAAAAGAGGAAAGATAAATAGTGGGTGGGTGCGAGAAGTCCACAGCACATCCTCGGACGACATGCTCTCACACAAATAAATAAGAAAAATTCCACGCAAAAAAATCTCTCTATCAGCTGCATGCATCCCCACGTGTACACTTCTTCGACACAGGCCCCTCACGCCGCGCCTCTGTTTTTGTGTCAAAAGAATCGGCGTTGTAGCCTCTGGGGATGCGACGCTTTAGAGCATTCCTTACCCACATTTATGCCAAACTGTTCTGCGCACATCTGGCTCCCTCGCGCGCGCCCCTATGCCTTGCGCCGACGCATCGTTGGGGTCCACCCATTGCCCAGCGGCGATGTCGGTGCGACGCGGTTGGAAGAAGCTGCCGCAGCAGGAGGGGCTGCAGCAACTGCAAGAGAAGTATTCGATGCAGCAGATTTCACCTTGACGCTGCACCTCGCTGGTGGTGTAGAAATGCGCGCTGTTGGACTTGCCACACGTTGTCCACGCAGCGCCAGCAGAGCCTGGTACAGCTCCTGCGTCGCCTCCTCGGTGCGGGCGGCCAGCCTCAACTGCGTGATATCCGTGATGCTCTCGGTGTCCATGTCCACCACGACATAGCACGGGTCTTGGTCGGTGAGGAGGTGGCAGTCTGAAACGCAGTCCGACATAAAATTCGCACCCACGAAATCCACGTCGCTGTCCGCCTCCTCCAGCAGAACTGAGACCTCCCCACTGATGAAGCTCAGCGTTAAGGTGGCCGTCAAGTCGGCGTACTCGACAGTGGTCCGTACATTCGAGATTACATCCTCACATACAGCTATCACCGCAACGTTCGTCATTGTCAGCACGTCGAAACAGGTGTGGTATGCCCCTCGCTCTACGAGGGTGGCCTGCAGGTCTTCGATGCGCTCGGACTGCTCCTTCAGCGCGGTGAGGATGAGAGACAATGTATTCGGCACGTCGTGCGCGCATGGCGATGCCGCCTGATGGTGTTGTTCTTGTTGTTGCTGTTGTTGACATTGCTGTTGTGGTTGTTGTTGATGTTGCTGCTGCTGCTGATTGAGTGCCGGTGACTTCGTTGGCGACCCGGCTGCCCCGTCACACAGCCACGGGGGGAGCGGCCGACCGCCAGGCTCGTCACCCGAGCCCATACCACTCATCTCAGTCACAGCTGCTGTTCCATTAGCACCAACCAGCAGCAAAGAGTGGAAAAGAGGGAAGGAAAAACATTAATGAATGAGTGGGAGGCGCCGCCTCGGCAGCGGCAAGAAACAAAACGCAGCAGCGGGTTGAAACAAAACACATTTTGTGGGATGCACCATACCATCTTCACAGGAGAGAAGAGAGGGAAATATATTTCTTTTTGTCAGTTCATTGAGCACCAAGAAATCAGCATAAACTTTTCTTTTGTCTATGTGTGTTTTCTTTTCGTACCTTGCTTCGTATTTTTTTTTGTTTTTCGGGTCTCTCCATTGTTTCACTCACATCAGTCCTTGCACTGTGTTGCAAGAGTATTGCAAGCCTTCATCGCTGACGTCTCCTCCCCACTCACCTCCTCTTCCCCCGCCGCGCCCCCTTACCTGCCGCGAGATGAGGGCCGCGCGCCATTGAGGCGAAGCGGTTGAGCACCAGAGAATCAAACGCGGGTGGCGCGACGGCGGCGACGGGGACACTGCAGCTGCTGCGTTGGTCGCACCGCCACTACGCAGCCATGAGACGTGTGCCACACACACACACACACACACCTACACCCGCCGTCACAGCACATTTCGCACCAGCATGCAAAAGGGAAGCAGCGCGCATGTCACTCCGTGCTGCGCGAACACCACCGCGAGACGGTCCGCAGCACACGCAGCACCGACCACGCGGCACCGTCGCCAACAATGTGCTCCTCCGACGGTGTGACGGCGCAGCGCAGCGGTGCCGACTTGGCATCCATCACACACAACCCCTCGCACTCTGGGCCTTGCTGCTGAACGCATGCGCTCGTGGCACCGCCCTTGTAGCGCCGCCGCCGCCGCGTCTCCCGGGCAGACATCATCGGCACGCCCTCGCCGCGTAGTGGTTTCATGCACACAGGGCACATCGCCGACCGCTGCCGCCACTCCTCCAGGCACTGCAGGTGGAACCCATGGCCACACACGACGAGGATGGCAGGGTTGTCGAGTGTGAATCGCTCGAGGCATATGGGACATGACGAGAGGTGGTACTCCCCCACTATGAAGGTGTCCTCCGTCTTGCTCGCCTTCCCGACATCACTGCAGCTAGAGAAGCTGCCGGGATTCAGCGGAGGCCCCGCCGGTGAAGTGAGGGACTCGGAACTAGGAAGACAGGAGAAGCGCGACTTCTTTGGGGAGTCCATCTGATAGTGCTCCTCTTGTGCTACTTCACTTAACTTTACTTGATGTTTCCTTTTGTTTTTGGTT